GGCAATTAGGTGGTTGAAATTATTATAATCTGAAAAACATATACAAAAAGAATTATAAATAAAAAAAATTTCTTTATTTCGATGGGATTTAAGAAAATTATTCGAGAATCCATTGCGTGTTGCTAATACTCTCAGATATTCAACATAAGGCTACAATGAAAATATTTCAGATTAGTTTTAACCGCCTTGCTCGCAAAGCCGTAGGGATTATCTGAAGTGCTTAACAATGAGCTGTACGACTTTCGCATTCGCACAAGTCAGTGTAATTCCTATTGGAAGCTTAACAGCATAAGAAAGCTCTTAATATCGTTCATATATGGTATATTGTTTTACCTTACGACCTGCACTCCCCATTACCCAAACAATTACATATGTATACCATACAAACAAGGTGTCGCTAAAGCACTTAAATGCCAGAAAAGGTGAGACCTAGAAAGTAAATAAAACATGAACTCTCAATGAAAAGATGAGAATATACTATACAAAATTCATAAATGCATTTTTATTGCAGTCCATATTTAAAATTCCAATAAATTGTTTAATAATTTAATGATGGATTTAGATATTTCCATATATGGTAAATGCTTCAGTTTTGGATATACTCTATACTGGAAGGTCGGGCTCTAAATGTGATCAAGGATAAATAAAGAAATACCGCGTCTGTATAAATAATTTTTTTTAATATATCACCTGACATAACACATTACGTATGTTTTTATTACGTAATTTTTAACGCCGTGGTAGTGGATTAGCCAATACGTGAACTGGCGGAACGCATGTGATTGAGATAGCGAGTGTAAATGAGAGTCACGCTTGATTAGCCCCACACTTGCTTTCTTACTCATACTTGCGTGTGTTATGTAAAGAGTTTCTCTGATTATTTTTTGGTTGTAGGAGGCTCTCTAAATCTTTTCTTAATTCAAATAATTTGGGGGGCCGTTATGAATATAAATATAGGTAGATATACTCGTTTGTACAAACAAAAGTGTATCGCTAATAAAGGGGAGCATATTATATCAATCTAAAGAGTTGGTAGAGAAATCGTAAAAAGGATGCATCAACGCTACAGACATTTGGGCGCACAAAAATTGGACTAAATGAAGACTAATATTGGCACATGTGCAAATATGTATTCAGTAAGATTTACCCTTTTATTATTTTCAAGGTTATACAACCTTTTAGAATCCTATCAACTGTTTTCGACTGCAACGTCAGTGTTTCTAAGTTTTTCTAAGCCACACGTTTTCCCCATTCAACTAACACACACACGCAACCAATATACTCGTAGCATTGAACATATAATAACACGAACTTGGGTACTTCACGAGTTTTAATAACAGCCAGATAAATAGGAGCATTCCTAGGTGCGTGTGGTTACATAAATAGTTTGTTTTCTATAAACAAATAGATTGGCTTTGAAATTTTAAAAGTTCACACGCGAAGGACCTTAACAAAATGCAATGATTGTATTGAACGTTCACTTGATGGAATTTCTGGGGGAAAAAACTTAAATGCTATAAGAATCCCATAAGCGTGGTATAGGCTCCTAGAGGGATGGTTATGTATGTCACGTTTTATCGTAACGAAAATATAGCTTTTAGGGATGTACTAACTTTCTTCCCTGTGCTAACTAAAATAACGTAACCGGCCAACATTTTGTTTGATATCAGAAACACTCAGGTCGAATTAAGGTTGAAAAATTATCTTTCATGAAAGAATTTATCTTGATATGGACGTTCAGTGTCACAGTGTTCCGATTTGAAAAGTGCATTCGGAAATTTTAGCGTTTCTTTAGGCAATATTTTGTGTGAAATTTCGTGAAGATATCTTTATCTCAAATAAAAAAGCTTTCGATATCTTACGACGGACTTATTTCACAATTCTAATTATTTATATATATGTACATTTTATAGGGTCCCCGACGGTTTTTCTGAGTGCTGCAAACTTCGTGACAAACCTAGTATACCCAGTTTAGGGTATAAAAATGAATTACCCACATGGGAAAAGTCGGTATAAAACTACCCTACTTTTATTTCTTCGAATACTCATACGTATATACCTATATATAAAAAATTGTCACTTTGGTGCCCCAAAAATTTGCAGACCAATTTTTTTTTTGAATTTTGGAGCACTTTGTGTATAAATACTATGTCGCCGTAGGTGTGAACGCTAAAATGTAGCAATGTCAGACAAGAAAAAGTGAATAGTAAAACATAAAAGGTGGAAAAAAAAACCAATGAAACCAAGTTCTTCCGTAACGTTGAAATCGCGATCTAACGCGAAGAAAACGGCGAGAAAGAGAAATCATGAAATTCATGCTGTTAAAATGCTAAGTAGCACAGGCCATAAGTGCTCAGGATAACGTAAATGGAGCAATGGAGCCCAGGTATTCAATCTACCTCTTGTATTGCCAGGTGATAAGGGAGTATTTGCGAGAGTGTGGGAACGTTACGTAATCGCTGGTAAGTTAATTACAGAACAGTCTACAGGAGTAGCGACGAAATTTAGGAGTTTACGAGTTTATTGGCACTTCTCTGGACATTTGTGCAGGTATGTTGTTATAAAACATTGTTTTTGTGTGATAACAGCAGTCAGGCTATTGTTCTCCACGAAAAATGAGACGAACTAAAAGTTGCAAGAAAAATTGAGCACGCGGGAGTACAAAAACATGGAAAAATTGCTACAAAAACCTGCTTCATTTCATAAATCAAAAGCAAGTAACGGTCAATCAAAAAAAATATTTATAAATTAGGGTAGATAATTTTTGAAAGTAAAAAAGTCATAGTAGGACAGTAGATGCTTTTCTTACTTCATCTACCTATTATTTCGTAGTAGCAGGGGTCTTGGAGTCTTTTTTTGCATTTCCTGAGAAAATTTACAGTAGTAATGTATATATTTTTTTAATTTTAAAGATAAGTGAAATAGGAGTAACTTTTTTCTAGCTTACTCATAGTTTTGCCGGAAATCTAACTAAACCGTTATTAACGGTTAAAAACCAACTCTCTTTTCTCTTCCCAACCTCAGAGCCCGCAAATTAATTTTCTTTTAATTTTTAGTTCTTTTTTCTCTCGTTTCAATTTTGTATAATACTGCCAACTTTATCTAAATTAAGATAGGTAGACAAAGTTAAAATTAAGAAGTCACTCCCTATAGTAGAAGACCGATATTAGTAATATATGCAAACCAATGAGTCAGAATAAGATAGCATGTGCTCGAGACAAACTAGCTTCTGTGACTCTGCAACGGAAACAATCATATAATTATAGGAAACGAATTTATTTATTACAAAATGGGAAACAATACATGTTCAAAAACACATGCTTAACATACGTTATCAAAAATATATTTATTTATTTTTCCAAGGTACGGCAAGCAACACAAACTGGTGCTACAATATACCATATACAAGCAAAGTTAATATGCAATTATGCTTTATCATTTCTTATCGATAAAAAAATTCATTTATCCGGTGTCCTGTGTAGCATCTCAATTATGTAAAATATCTGCCAGACTTACTTTATTGTCACCTAAGTTTGTATATATATATATATATATTGTATATATGTATTGATATAAGGAGTAACGTCAACTAGATAATTAAAAATCCTGATATTGGTCATAAGGAGTCCTGAGTTAATTTTCACCCGATTTTATTCATTTTAATCAAAAATATGTACCGTTTTTAGAAAAACACGCGCTATTAACCCTTTTAGTGCCGGGCGAAAAAGAGGTGCCTATGCGAAAAAAACCCGGCCGAATTTCACAGTTTTACAAGGGTTCGGAAAAATGCTTGTAAAAACCAAACGAGAAACAATATTTACATGATTCAAAAAGCTGCGTATTGTGGATAAAATACAGAACTTAGCAATGAGACTAGTTTTTTCGAATTCATTTGAAAATTATAGAAAAAACAAAACAATACATTGTAGAAACAATACAAACGGTCATCTTTTCATCATAATTGTCTATGGGTCAATTATTATAAAGTATATACTTTGAATTTCCAATATATATTTTGTAACAAGATAAACAATATTACATAACAAAAACAAAACATAACTTGAAGGAAAGGTGTTTATGTTAGATTTCGGTACCTCCAAGCGATAGGAAAAACGTCGTCAACAAATAGTTCAAACAAAAACATATTTTTTTTAATTATCTTGTGATGAAATTAGATCATTTATAACGATTACAAATTTATTTTGAGATAGAGTTCTCCCGCAATGCAAATAGTAAAGCGCTACAAGGCGCGGGCCGATACATCGGCTCTGACACTTCTCGACAGTGCAACAAGAGCCGATATATCGGCCTCCGGCACTCAAATGGTTAATTTAAGATAACTAACATATTTGCCGATATATGCAGTATAAAGTCAGTCATGTGAGTTAAGGGAACTATTGATCCGATTCAACACATTTTTGACACACAGGCATATATTATCATCAGAAAAGGAATATCTCCGAATTACAATCATACATATATCTCACAGATTGATCGATATTTTCCGTAAAAACTTCGCAATAGGAACTGGGGTGCACATGTATCTAGGTGCTTGAATAGTTTTGGTTCGATATGGACAATTTTAGTCATAATGTAGCACACCTCAAGGGCACACCTCATACAAAGTTTTATCTTTAGTCCGGAGTCATGAGTTGTCAGCTAAATACAGGCGGAGCCACGCCCATCATCCAAATTTGACACCGGCTCCTACGAACTCCTTTCGCGCCATTTCGGCTGTAAAATTTTAATGTTTCTGGCGCATTTATTTATAGATTTATCACACTTTTAATAGTTTTTAACAAAACCATTATATGGGGAGTAGAAGGGGTTATAATTCAATTTCGTCCATTTTCATAGAGTGAGGAGGGATGTTAAAGGTTTACCCATTTGTTTTCGCCCGTCTGCTCAATACCAACCCTCCTTGGGGGTTAAGGAACATGTGTACTAAGTTTCATAAATATATCGGCTAAAGTTGATGAGATTTTAACTGTAGTACTTACTTAAATCACTTAAATGACAATTTCCTTATGTATTACAGATCATCCATAGGGCTGAAATCACCAAAATTTTTAGTTTTTTTACACTTCTAAAAGTACAAAGGCAACTAAAATCTAAGGAAACTTAAACTGAATTTATTGATGGACGATTGGTTTTTGCTTTGCTTACTTTTCTGTTTATGCTCTTCAGCAAAAGAATCCACTGTTTATTTTCACACCGATTTTATTTGTTTTGTTTTAAGCACTTGCTCCTGTTTCGACACATTAGCGCTAACACTTCTTCATTTATTTATTTATTTTGCTTTATTGCTGTCAACATTGGCTTATGGGCACACATACCAACACACACATGTATGATATATGTAGTAGGTGCTGCTAACAAGCGCTGCGCTTGTTATTCTTAATTGTATTATTACTTATTTTCGTTTTGCTTTAGATTTTTAATTTTGTTTCGCTTGCCGCTGATAACGCGTGCAATGTGTTTTCGCCTTTTGTTGTTGCCCTGCTGCTGGCGCTGCTGCTATCGCCACCCAGCTGAATTTTCAATGAATTAAAAGCACAAGCGCCCAATATATTTATTTATTAGTTGTTTGTTGCTTTGCTGTTTTGGTTTTGCTTATTAACTCTCGCAGTCAGCCAGCCAGTGCGACGGACACTCACTCACCCGAGCGACAGTCTGTCTGTCGCTTGTCTTTCGGTCTATCAGTCAACCAACAAGCCACTATTAAGTCCGGTAATCGGTCATCCAGTTACACAGTGCGTAAGTCTGTCGTTTATACACAAAGCGTTCTCATTGGCTTTTAACTCACTTTTCATATGTTGTGTGCAGCAAGAAAAAAATATTCATTGCTGCAGCACCGATTCTACAACAAAAAGTTTTAAACAGAAATTATTTACAGATTATTTTATTGACAAATTAGATAGTAATGCACTAATCATTAGCACTCATTCATCACTGTTATTAAGTTTAAGCAATGATTTTTGCTATTGGGTTTCAATTAACTTCTATTTTTTGATTATGCAAAGATTTTCTCTCTAAAACGTTCACCGGCGGCCAAACCACATCCGCTGCTCAATTTCCGGTGCACAACGTTTTCAGGCGACGGCAACTTTTACACTGAACTTGCTCGCTCACGGCCACGCTGTTCTGCTTGTGTTTGTGTTGTTTCAGCCTTAGCTTCTTTTTCAGCAAATTTTTATTTACAATCTTCGTGCTCAATATGCGCTTATGAGCTCTACCGGGAGCTAAAATTATGCATGCGCCCCAATACATATTTATATGTACGCTTTAAGGCCCTCAAACACTGGTAGTTGGTATTAGCTCTCTTACAACGCTGCGAGCTCGTGGAGCCATGCATACCAGGGGTTCGCGTTATTAGCTTAACCATTGTGTTGTTTGGAGAATTTACGGGATTATTGGCTTTTACAATTGTAAAATACAAGAGCGTTATTAATAACTACGAGAGTTTAACAGGCTCGCGCTTATTTTAGCGTGAATATCAAAATCAAAGAAATTACAATGTAGAAAAAGATAAAAAAGTATATAAGTTTTTTTTTTTTTGAATAACACTGTACTTTTTATTTTATACAACTGATTATACTCTTAAGTGTTTCAAAAAACTGTATTAATGCTCTTTCCGACAGCTCTGGCAACCTGGTTTTCTTTATACTACTATCATCAAACTCAATTAGCACCCCTTTTGCTTACTGCTCAAAATCGTACTCAGAGAGATAAAGAGTGCCCATACTCTAAATTATATTTCAAACATTGATAAATGTTCTTCGCGAAATCAGCTGTTTTTGCGACTGTGGCGCATTTTAGTTCAAATTATGTGTCGTAAAACTAGATTCAGAATACCACAAAATTAAGCTTCATTTGAAATTTCCTAAAATTAAAAATTGATGTCTACCTATAAGTAACTCTAGGGGTTAAGCAATTCTATAGCTCTCAAAATAGCTGACTGACAATTTATTTTGGGAGTAAAGAACAAGGAATAAAATTTCTGTCTTTTAAACAATTTTAATAGAACAGCGTAAATAATTTTTGAAAGCAAAAAAAATCATAGTAGGATGAAGTTCATTGAAAAAGAAAGATAAAATAACAAAAATTTAACTTAAAATTATTTACGGGCGATCTGAGTTTGGGAAGAATGAGAATGGGAACGGTGTGGCTGAATTTTTTAGGGTTCAAAACGGTTCACCTCGATTTACGGCAAAACTACGACTCTTACAGAAAAACCTTATAGAGCAAAGTTGTAGGTAATGAAAAGATCAAACATTTCAAATTAACACTTTTTCCACATAACCTCAAATTTATGTGGAAAATTAAAACATTTTTCGTTTTTATCTCTAATTTGTTTTAATTTGGTTTAACTAACCTGTTTGTATCCAAAACACACTGTATTAATGTTTTATTCCTTATATTGGCTTAACATCGAGAAATTTTTTAATGAAAAATTCTCAACTGTACATAGTATACTTGATAATTTCTCCGGGTGCCTTCTTTATTTCAAAAACGCAGTTTCGATAAAAAAGGGTTTAAAGATATACATGTTGAAGCGTTTCGATACAACAGCGGATCCTGGACCGACCTTACTTATTAAGATGAAGTAAATTTAAGAAAAGTTTACAAACAATTTAGACAAACTCAAACATGGATTCCATCAGTTAATAGGAATTCTATTTTCTGGAATTATTAAGTAGATTGTAGTTTTTTTGAAATATATACCTTCTTGTATTGTGTTGGTAGATGCAGATGTGGTGACGTACCTCTATATGTATTCTCAAACATTTAACATTTTCAAATGGCTATTTGCAAGTTTCAAATTAAATTGAGTAATATTTGAAGTGTAAATTTAGTGCAATTACTATGAAATTTTAAACATATTTGGTAACAAACAAATTAAAATTCCAGATCGTTGCGAGTAAGATATTAACTAATATTTAGTTTTTCTTAATACTGCTCATATGTATCAAATTCCATTAAGTTTTTTTTTTAAGTTTAGAAATCATACGAACATTCCCATTTTATTTTACACATTGTTTTCAAAAGAATACTCGAAGAAGTTATTATGTAAAGATTCTCTCTGCCTCTCTGAGTACGGGCTGTCTTACACCCCAATTGCTTCCAATGAAAAACACGAAAAAAAAACACTTGGATAACTTTTGATAACAACTACAACTGTAAAAATTCCAGTAATAATTCCAACAACAAATGTTAGCAACAGCAGTCGCTCATGGTAAACATATGTATTTATATATGTACATTCGTGGGTAGATATGAATGTGAGTTTCATTGATTGTTTGTTTGCTTGTTCGGCGATTTGTTTTTGAGCTCCATTATTACGAGTTAAATATGGGGGAAGGTCATCAGTATGTGCGCCCAAAACACGTTTGCTGCTCAATATTAGCCAATGTATGAGTGAGCGTAAGTGGAAGTGTAGGGGCGGGCTTTTGTTAGTCCATCCATTCATTTCACTGATGTTCGTAATGAATCCAAGTCAAGAAACGGTTTTATTTTCTGACTTAAAAGCTCAACAGAGTATGCAACAAAAGCTAATGGTTGGTGTGCTTGATAAAAGTTCTTTCAATTTTTAAGGGTATATAATTAAAATTTACTGCTACTCATTAAACCAGTAACGCTTGAACCCTACATTGAAGCTATTTCGCAAGCTTTTCCTATATTAATACAAATTTTAGTCTAGAGGCTAAGAAAATTTAGGGAGAAATCGGAACAAAAAATTTTTAGTAGAAAATAAAATAGAAATTAACTTAATAGTTCAATATATGTGTACGGTTTGATAATACTTTTCAAACAGATGCACGTAGCTATCACTACGTAGTGTCCTGCGAACCAAATAATTACTAACTCGGTGTATTAGGTTAGGTTAGATCAAATAATGATTCTTGTAAAAGAAGTCGAGAGGGATCTCACTTGGGCAGATAAGAGCACCGGTCCTTTGTGGTGTCATAAACTCCAAATTATGAATCCACAACATGCCCGTTAACCGACAAAGTCATACATTTTTTCCATATTAAATATTCACTGAAAATCGCCACATATAATAGGTGAGGGAGCAACGCAATGGAAATGATTTAAGAGAAAGAATGGAAATGATTTAAGAGAAAGTAAAGTAATATTAAAAATTATTAATAGATTCAATCACTGCCTGGTTCGATGGTTTGTACTTATATCAGTTGATGAAGTGGATGGTGTTTCCGGCATTGTTGAATACGTCTTCGGTCTGACGTATTTCTCCTGTTGACTGATTTTTAGATGAAGCTGGGGTGCGATTTTAAGTGAATGAAAAATTCCAAACAAGAAAATTTTAAATTATTCTTCAGAAATAAAATCGATTTCAGGGTGGTGATTTGTAGACGAGTTCTTTCGTATGTCCACATTCTGTGAATGGTAGAAAATATGCGTTCCACTGGTGCCGATGTTCCTGCTAGTGTCAGAGTATGTTTAACATTCTCTGAAAGCTCAACGAATGGTATGTTTTGCTTCAACAGAAAAGTAAAACATTGAACCCAACCTTTGTCAACGGATGTCTGCTCTTTGCTCCATTCATCAATTCGTTTGTAACCTAAATAGGAAGAAATATAAGTGAATTGTTCAAACTGCTTATGTGAAGTAGTGTCTAATGCTTTCGAAATATTACTTTCTGTGAAGAAAATATATGTTTTTTCAATTTATTTCCAGTCGAGTTTATCAGTGAATAGCCCCTCATCAAATAGTTTTACATGAGCAAACAGTTGAGTCCATACCTCAAGATATTCGTTGCAATCACCTGACATATTGAATACACTTAAAAATGAGAAAACAAAAATTTAGGTGTAAAATGAAATATTTACTTCGAAATTGTTTCGCCTCTACTTCAAATTGCTTCAAGTCATAGTTTTCTTTCCATTTCCGCTTTTACTTGCAACGGAAAGTAAATGAGTTGCTTGGATGTTTGCAAATTATTTATTAAATGTTGCAAATTGTTTATTAAATGTTGCAAGTGTTTGTAAATTGCAACTGCTGGAATATCATCGCCTTCAATTTTCTTTATTATTTCTTCGAAAATCATGACATAAAATTAATGAGAAATAATTTTTCGATTTTGAAAAAATTTCAGTTAATAAAAATATATTTTCACCTGTTCATGAACAAAAATGAACCAGAGTTTCGATAGTGGATTACTGTAAAAATGGCCGATACATCTAGCTTTTTGGAGGGGTGAAGGAACGACGTCGAAATACATTTTCAAAGGTTGGATTATTCGAATGAATCCCCCAAAGCTTCTCTCAAGTCAATGAACCGAGTTTTGCAGTAGCCAGCCAGTTGATTATATTCGTCTTCACAAATTTCGCAGATTGACTTAAATGCTTCTCTGTGAATGATGTGGATGTAGAAATATGTGTAGATCTGAACAACAATGCTCTCTATTTCAACATCAAGTGCATTACATGCGTTACGAGTCGCTGCACAACTTACACTAACTATGTTCCCTTTTAATTTCTCTAATTTTGCAAAAACATTTCACCACAGTAAGCGATCAATTTATTAGCCAAATCAAACTTTTCTAAGACTCTTTTAATCAATGAAAAATCTATCCGACGTTTCAGCTTTTTCTTGTGAAAGTTCAATTATTTTAACATTAGAAGCGTCGGTCGACAAACAAATGAATCGGGCTTTCCGTAAATCAGACTTGAGGCATTGCAGTGGTTTGATTTAAAATAAAAAATTTGAATCGGACGATAACTGTTGTTTTTTTTTAATACCAAATCTGAAACTGTGATTCTCATCAATTGTGTGGCATGGAATGTTGAATGAAAGTAATGAGCTGACAGTGAACCTCGCTCGCAAAATCTACTACAGAATTCAATACATTCAAGCTGAATGTACCGAATTTTCTTATTTTCTAAGCCCGGGACGCTTAACTTCGAATCCGACCAAACCGGGAACGATTGGTCAGCTAAGCTTACAGCCTATTACACATTTGTTAAGGCGACTTTGGCTAATGGCGTCCGACAGGATTTTAGTCTCACCACATGAATACCGGTGTGCCGGTGTACGGTATACCTATACCGGCACACCGGCACACCTAATTACGATGGTGCTTGGAAGATGGCTCCATCTTTAGCATTTTAGCTGCCGCTTCTGCACGGGACTTTTTGCAGAGAGAGGCTTCCCCATTTTGTAAGCCCTTCCGTTTAACTGTAGATTGGACGTCGCTCGATCCCATTCTGTCGTCATTACCGCTGCTCACCATTCTCCGAGCATTCTACTCAGATTATTTTGCTCACCATTTTCACTCTCGTAGCGCTCCAATGGCCAGGATGATATTCCTTTCATTTCTAAATTCACCACATTTGGCGTATTATATCTAAATCATTGTATACAACTAATCAGTTCATGACTTGTTACACCTTATTTATAATATTAACACATATGAGTCCACCACATACAAATGCTTCACTACAAAAAGTGGGAAAAATTTAATAAAAGCCGCTAAATTTATTTTAATATCTAGTGCTAGTCCAAAAAGAAAATCTAAATTTATCGAATTAATACTTTAATGTTGACATATATCCTAAAAAATATATTATAATAAATAGAGTGAAAAAATATGTTAATCACATACCCATTTAATATATTCATATTACTGCTTAAGTGGTAATTGAAAACTTATTTATATAATATTATAATATAATTACAATATAGAGTGGTGAGTATGTAGTTTTCTCTTGCTAATCCGTGTATGTTGTATTTTATGTCGTTTTTGCATCTTCGGTTTCTTCGTGTGATTTGGTTTGCTCCTCGCCATCCTCACAAACGGTTAAATCTTCAAGCCTTAGGAGAGGTCGAGGGGTAACAGGTAAAAATGTATTGCACACAGTACTTATAGTCTCGCACGCATTTGGACTATGCACAACAATGAAAACACAATTTTGTATCACATCACCGGGAGTATTGTCCACGTAGTGGAAGACAATGTGAAATTCTTCAGTACCTCCGAACGATATTCGCTTACCCCGAACCCTGCAAAGATTATTAGTATTGCATAAATAACTTCCAAAATTCAAGTGCGGGAAAAATTATGTATTCCATGAAGACTAAGAACCATCTACAATGTAACCTCGTGACGTTTTTGAATTATCGTTGGTTCTTCCAAGTTTCAGTGGGTTAAAATTATGATTCCACTATGGATGTGTATTAATTAAAATTAAATAAAAACTTACAGAAAAAGTGCTTAAAAAGTTCTCTTAAACTAAATGTCTTCTTCTAAAGAAAGTCTAATAGAATATCGATTGGATAAACACGGCTCAATTATAATAGAATTTTTATGTGGTTCATCAAGAAGTATGTAGCTTGAAAGTAAAATGACTCTATCTTTCAACTTTTCTCAAAATAATTTTCTAAAATATCATTATGATATAAATCATGTAAGAAAGTGCTAAGTCCGGGTGTAACCGAAAAATGTATACTCTCGCAACTTGCGGGGATCAAAGCATGGGGAACACCTTCAGGTGCTGGCAAATCTGCATATTGAGCTAGAGAAAGTATCGCTGTGATTTCATTTATTTAAGACAGGAGGATACAATATTATTAAGGAACGTGAGGCTGAAGAAAGTGTTGACCCGATGTTTAATTTTTGGCACAAGTTCGATTTCGACAACTTTTGGACGTAAGATGAAATACCTTGAGGATGCTATTTGTGCAAAGTTTTTTTTTCTGATAACTTCATTGATTATATTGGAAGTAGTCGTGGTTGTCATGCGATTTCATCCGCAGTATCTAATAAAAATATTTTAGTAACCATATACCAAATTTGGTTGAAATCGGTCAAGCAGTTCCTGCGACAAAAGATTTCACTTAAAGGTTGGCGTGCCACGCACATTGTCTTATTTCTACAGCTGCTCATATAAACCATGACGGTTGTGAAATTGAATGCTTGTGGCGCATTTATTCAGTGAGTTATAGCACTTTTGGTGGTTTTCAACACAACATTCATATGGGAAGTGAGATGGTAATAATCGATTTTACCCATTTTCTCAGTGTTGAAAGGGTAAAAAAATGACTTTTTCTTAGCGAGTTGGGTTGATATAGCTTTAGCAGTTTGAAGTATATGTACATTTAACCATTTAGGTCGCAGGATCACGCCAACTTTTAAAAAATTGTGGTGGCACTAAAGCTGCTTTCAGCTAACTTGAGTATATCGTTAAATTACTTGCTTATTACTTCTTCTGCTTCTGTTCCTAATCTTGAAAATAAATTCTGGCTACTGCGATCTCCTGTACTCAATTGCCGTTTTGTATCTTAATATAGTGCTTAGTTATGACACTTTATAAGTTTTCGTTTAATGGCGTTTTCTGGGCGTGGTAGTGATCCATTTCACCCATCTGCAATATCCCCTCTCTTGGTGAAAGGCATATGTGTACCAGGTTTCATCACAATATCTCAATTTTTACTCGGACAGACAGTCACTCGTCTCATCATCCTGATCATTTGAATACATATTAATCGATTTCTATCTCAATTAGTTTTAAGTGTTACAAACTACCGTTAGGTGCACAAAACTAGTATACTCTGTAGGAACATGTTGCAAGAGTATAACAAATGGTCCAGTATGGGCAATGATTAACGTTTCCCTTTTCTTACGTTCGCTCGCCGATGAGACACAGTAGTGTATCATATGTTTAAAATTTAAGTGTAGAGATATACAATTGATGGTGGTCACAGCTTCTACATCGACATTTAACTCGTGTAGAACTTCACGGTAACGAAGGGGATGATATATCGTCAAACCTTTGGACTGGTGAAGTGCTACAAGGGCAGTATTGGCTCAAGTTCGCGATTTGCGCATATGTGGCAGAAGAGATAACTTTTATAATGTTTAATGACATAAAAAAAAAAAACCTTGGATTACGAATCTGAGCTGGAACTTGCTAACGCCGCTGAGCAGATTTCGAAAGATTTTTGAATGGCCATGTTATGTTGATGTTGAATTTTGAAGGTAAAGAGCAGTTAATTATAATATTAATATTATTAGATTATTTTCCTTAGCTAGCGGTTTGTTTCTGTAAACTAAATGCCTGAAATTTTTTTTTTAATATTTATGAATCGGCAGTTGGTTCATAGTTCAAAAAATTAAATAGTTCGATACCGGTATAGCAACCCCTTTTTCAATATGCCAAAGGAGATAAGCATTCCTTTTTGCTTACAATCTTTCGATTAAAATGATAAATTCGAGACATATTATATATAGAAGGAGAAGCTCACTTAAGAAATAGATTTAGTTGGACTACAATTACAATTGTTATCAGTCCAATGTTCAACTAAAATTTTCGTCTTCTCAATATATTTATCTACATAAGTTACATGTAAATATATAAGTAATTTGACAACTGTTCCCCTCCCGTCGCTGTCGCTTTGCTGCTTTTAGGACATAATTCGACAACTCGTAAAATATACTCACATATGTAAAAAAAAATCGAAATAGGCGGAATTGCCATCTAAAATGCAAAATCGCTTAACATCACTTTTCATAAGTTTACAAGGAAAGAAAAACTATATAAAATAAAAACTACTCATACTAAAACAAAATTTTAATTTTAGTCAATAAAAAACTTAATTTTGAATTATGTGATGTTGTTTCGCGATGTACTTTTATTGTATCTGCATTTTTCACAAATTTAGTTTCTACTTACGCCAATGGCTCGCCGATGATTTTCATGCCAACTTCTTCATATTTGCTCAACACGTAATCCAGAATTTCTTTGGCGTCCTCCTCTTCTAACTTGAAAGAATGTCAAATAATTAGTACATTCGGTTCTATTCAATAAAACCACAAAACAAAACTCACATTCGTTAGACAAGTTGGCGGCTCCGTCGCCAAACACAGACCACGCTACAAAACAAACAATTATTGCGTTTTTTTTAACATGATTCATTAACTATAAATCAATTTAGATCAAGTTGATTATACTTGTACTCACAACATTAATGACATATAAATTTAATAACAGAAATTTTACACACACGAAATGCACAAACATTTTGCACATTTTATCTAACTATTGAGGAATTTTTATTTGAGAGTTGTTTCTGCTTCAGGCCAATAATTCCAACTAATGTTACACCCACTCGAAATTATTGTTGACGTGATTGTTTCGAACACTTTGTTGCTGTTGTAATGCTAATTGTTTTATATGTATTCTAATTTTATTACACGCTACGGTCCACATTGTAGGCAATAAGAAAAAAACCTGTTGAAATTATATTCGATTTTGATGGAGATCTTTTAAATTATCTAATATATAAGCGAACATGTACATTTACATTTTTAATTAACTGTTTATAGTAAATATTTACATTCGAATGTAATTAACAAATGTCTAAAGTGCAATGCGACGCTGACTTATGCGATAAAGAACTGATATTCATACATATAGGTATATATTATTAACTGAATCGAAATCTCAAAACCTTGGGATATAGTTACCAATTATGGATCTTTACGCTCTCCGCGGTAAGTTCGTTTTGCAGCGTAAATTAACCAACAAAATGTTTAAATAAAGTTTAGGATATCATAAAATGATAAAAAAGAATTTACAGAGCTATATTTTATATTCTTACAATGTCAAGGCAAAATCATTCTTTGAGTAAAATTTCCTAACATTATTTTCCTTCGTATGACTGATAATCGCCAATGTAGTAAAAAACCCCTAGTCGTAAGTTTAACTAGATCAGTTCCCATTAAGGAGCTGAAGGCGAATTTTTTACTGATTGTGAAAGATAGACTAGATGTTTGAATACAGTCATTTTTTATGAGTACGCGTTGAATGATGTTTCTAAAGCTTTCATACTCGTATACTTAAAAAAATATGGTAGAGTGCCGTAATTTTCATCAAGCAAAAAGAGTAAAATTTATTATCATTATTTTTTTATTGCCATTTTCCTGCTCACTTTTTACTTATTGGCTACATTTTAAAATAAACAATACTTACTTAAGACTTATCAGTAAATTTTAAAAGAGCATATTTAAAATAAAATAACAAGAACCGCCATACAAACATATATTGTAGATTTCACATGTCTAGGATGGTTTTTAATAGTCTAATGCGCTCATTCTTTATTTCAGCATCAGGATGTAATCAGCAAAACTAAACAATTTTTAGTCCACAAAATTACTGTTAAGCTCACTAAGAAATCAAATGCATTTTGACGTTGTACTTTCGGCTTAAATTGAATATTTTGTAACAATGGGTTCATCGGCGTAGTGTTTCCGAATTTCGCTTATTGCTTTGCACTATAATTCTCCTCCTGCTCCTGCTCGTGTGCACTGCCACTCTCGGGAATGATGTTTTGTTCCACAATCTTTTCACCATTAACATCGTGTGATATCGCCAGATTAGCCACTTGACATGCAAGCGAAATAAGGCTTAATCCACAAATTAGCGACAATTTTAAAACTGGCATTTTCCTAGTTTCGTGTAAGACTGAAAAAATTTGTTTAAAGCTCTGAATATTTTATACCAATAAAACCAACGTAGCTAAAGGCTGTTTAAATAATACATATTTGCATTCCCGCCAAATATTTAACTTATACTGTTCTTCTGAATATGTTTGGTGTGGATTTCACATGTAAATGTTTGGCCAGCAGAGTGTGCAGAGCTCATACACCGCGAGAAGTATTAACCCACCTTTGGAAAGAATTGGTTAAGCTTTAAGTTTATTATAAATGTAGTGGGCTTGAACCAATTGTAGCGCGCTCAAGCGTTAATGATGATTTGCAAAAAGTTTAAGTTATAATTTTTTTCGCAAACAAAAAACAATTAAATTCTATTACCCAAGGGCGGAGCTATAAGGGATTTAAAATAACTGCATTCACTTTTTATTCCAACAAATTTAATATACCTTTAATATAATTTTGAAATGAATTCAATTGTCTTCGATTTCATTTTTTACGGTTATGAGAAATACATTGAAATTAGAGTCTAGAAAGGGAGATATATATATTATTACTAAAAAATTTGACTAATTTTACCCTGACCTCAATACACCTACAAGCATATCTACCCACGCAGTGAAAACAACAAAATATGGTAGCACTTACTGCAAACCCGCTTTAGCTTTGTCGTATTCCATTTTATGTCTGAAAATTGTAATATATTATACATTGTTTATGAATTTTAACACGCTACTAGATTAGAACACAATAGGAATATATGAGTTTAATTGTCCCTACCAAATTATTCTACGTCGATTTAATTCTAAATATGACAATAATACTTATACAGGGCAACATAAAAAAAATTATTTTGTGCATGGGTTTATTTAATATAATCCAGTTATTTAAGCAAATATATATGGGAAAGAAAGAGTACAAATCGAAAATATTTGCTTTTTAAGCATTTATCGCTTGTTGCGTATGACAATACCTATTTGCGAATTGCAAAAAAATAATGTTTTTTTTGAATCTGAATTTTTTATTTTAATCAGCCTTTTGATTTTGTTTGCACCATAATTTTTTGTATGTACATTTTCTCAAATGTTGAATTATTCTACATATCAGTAGTTGAGTAGTTGTTTGTTTGGAAATAATCTATCTATGACATATGGAATACTAATCCTGTTACCGCAACTCAAAATATATATTGGAATGATAGATCTGATTGGTAAATTAGTTGAAAGCAAATTTTTATACTATCGCAAATGTTGCAACAGAACATAGTTTTGTTCACCTAACGAGTTAAATATGTATACCATATATAAATGATCAGGATATCAAGAAGAGTTAAATCCCGGATATCTGTCCGTCTGTCTAAAATGTCCTTATTCGAAGTACTTCACTAAATATATATGACAAAAGCATTACAATTTTCTCTTAAGATGACCCGAAAGGGCTAGATAAGGCAAATATTGCCTCTAAAGTGTGTTATTTCACTCACAAAAAATGTCGACATCGGATCAAATTTTTCAATTCTCTATAGGAGGTTTTTGAAACACTGGGAGATATTATTGAAAGAATATTTTCATGATAGTGTTCCCTTGTGGAAAATGTGTAAAATCGAGCCAATAATAACCCTAGCCCCCATAAACCTAATATACGAATTTAAAACTTTAGATTGAACTTATACTTATACAAGTATGTAAAAGACAAAATTAAGTGAACGTATTATACTGATTATACTAGCAGACTTTACGCCGAATCTGACGATTAGTGTGTGATTTATATTTATAAAATAATTGCTTGGAAACATATTTTCGAGTATATGGTACTTGAGTAATGGTTAAAGTTAATGCAATCAGTCAGTTTGGTTTGTTTATTTCTTCATATCCCTAATATTATATATGAAGTTTAGCCTCTTTGATTCCTTTCTTCATATTCGTCATATACCCCATATATTAAATCTAGCCCTTTGGTTGAGTTTATATCCCATATATCTCATTTGAGTTAATTAGATTGATCTTAATATTAATATTGCGGACATGCAATATGTAGTACTGAAACTAAGTGAGTCTATGACTCTTAATATATATAAGTATATAAGATACCAAATTTGATTGTACTCCACTCGGTCGAATAGAGCATGTTGAATTGTTCGCAACAGTTTTATACTCTCGCAACATGTTCTAGAGTATAATAGAGTGGTTCACCTAACGGTAGTTTGTATAACAAAATTAATTGAGATAGATATGCAGTTATATGTATATATATATATATGGTACAAATGGTCAGAATGACCAGACGATTTGAATTCCAAGTGACTGTCTATCCGTCCCTCTATTTGATTAAGATATAACGTTGAACTTTAGTACACAAATAAATTGGCATCATAAAAACTTTGGTAATCAGATCACTGCCACAGCCATAAAACGTCATTAATCGAAAACCTATAAATTGCCATAACTATGCCGCAAATTAAGATACAATGCTATAATTTCGTACAACGAGCTATTATAACTAAATTCACGCAGAACCAATCCCATAAGCACCCCTACCGACAACGTAAAATTGGATTTCAATTAAATTTGGTAGGTAGTATTATTCTGTCCTTCCTCTGTTGCAGTGCGAAAATGGGACTGCAACCACGCCTACTGCCCATATAACACAACTTTAAATTCCATCTGATTCTTTCACTTTCCAGTGTATAAATCAAGCGCCAATGAATATATTGCGATAAAACTAATCAAATCTAAATATTGTCAAAATCGGTTTTGCCGAAAATATCGGTCAAATTGTATGATTTGTGTATTAACAAGTTAAAACGTTAACTTCAGTTGTACCGAAGCTATAATATCCTTCACAAATACAAAAGGCTCCTTAGAAGAACTTGATTCCGATTGTTCACTTTGTATGGCAGCTATATGCTTTAGTGCTCCGATATAGGCCATTCAGACAAATAAGCAGGTTCTTGGTGAGAAGTGATCATATGCTAAATTTAAAATCGATATCTCAAAAACTGAGAGACTAGTTCGCGCATATACAGACAGACAGACGGACAGACAAACGAAAAGACAGACATGGCTAAATGAACTCATGATGAGCTAATCATTTATGTATAAATTTTATAGACGGTGCAAGCCTTTTGAAAGGCCTCCACGTCTGCATAACGCTTTCCTTTCATCGGCAAATGCATTTTCCGAAAAGGTAGAATTCACACGCGACCATATCAGGTGAATACAGGGAGTGGTTGATTGTTAAAATGTGATTTTTGGTCAAATAATCGGCCACAACGCATTATCGTGCAACAAACGCCAACTTCCATCTTCGCGATATTCGGGCCGAACACGTCGAATACGGCGCACCAAACGCTTCAAAACTCCAAGGTAGAATACCGCATTAACGTTTTGTCCAGGTGGAACAAATTATTTGTGGACAATACCTTGGAATCATAAGAACAAATCAGCATTGTCTTCACTTTTGACTTCTCCAGGCGCGATTTTTTGGGTTTCGGCTCATTTCTAATTTATGTCCTCACGACTACTTTGAAAACGGTGAAACCACTCGTGCACTCTGCTTCGGGATAAGCAATCATCGCCATAAACTTGTTTCATCAATTGAAACGTTTCGGTAAAAGTTTTACCAATTTTAAAACAAAGTTTAATGTTGGCTCTTTGTTCGAAGCTCATTTTCGCACCGATGACA